AAGTATTCAACGTCTCTACCACATCCGCGGTACAGCAGTAGCCTTCGTTTGTCCCGTCATTTTGTGTTAGTTACAGTCCAGGTGGGATGTACCGGACATATATGCATCAGAATGCCGCCTGGTGCTTGTAAGCGTCCTCTAGCCATCAGCACCATAGCTGGGCCACAACAGAGTAGGGTGACAAGAGACGGCATTCGATGCAGCGTGTGGGTCTATGGTTATCGTGATGACACACAAGCTGGGAAGCTCGCCACGCATACCGTGCACGGAATGTGGCTGACGTGACGGTGATTTCGTGTCTCAGGGGACGAGAAAAAGGTCCGAAAAAATTGTTGGTTGCGAGACGTTTTTGGAGCCCCTATAGCTCAGTGGTAGAGCACCCGCTTAGTAAGTGGAAGGTCGATAGTTCAATCGTGCCTGGGGACAGTGGCCATGTGCCGTACCTATCACATGTCACAAGTTCTAGTATCTCCTTGCTCGAGAGAGTGGCTCAACTTGCTCGTATCTTTTCATCGTAGTAGGGGTTACGCCTCCATTTTATACAACATACTTTGATAGGCTCGCCTGCTATATCCGTACCATAGGCGGTGACGATCAGTCTATCCCATAAAGTGTCATATCCTTTACTTCAATCGAGTCATTGGCTAGCACCCCGTTTATAACGAGCGCGGCTGTACGTCACATTTATACCAATCCCCGTTTTGTTGGCACTTCAAATGGATACGACATCGATACACCTTGCTGCAAAGTATTCAACGTCTCTACCACATCCGCGGTACAGCAGTAGCCTTCGTTTGTCCCGTCATTTTGTGTTAGTTACAGTCCAGGTGGGATGTACCGGACATGTATGCATCAGAATGCCGCCTGGTGCTTGTAAGCGTCCTCTAGCCATCAGCACCATAGCTGGGCCACAACAGAGTAGGGTGACAAGAGACGGCATTCGATGCAGCGTGTGGGTCTATGGTTATCGTGATGACACACAAGCTGGGAAGCTCGCCACGCATACCGTGCACGGAATGTGGCTGACGTGACGGTGATTTCGTGTCTCAGGGGACGAGAAAAAGGTCCGAAAAAAATTGTTGGTTGCGAGACGTTTTTGGAGCCCCTATAGCTCAGTGGTAGAGCACCCGCTTAGTAAGTGGAAGGTCGATAGTTCAATCGTGCCTGGGGACAGTGGCCATGTGCCGTACCTATCACATGTCACAAGTTCTAGTATCTCCTTGCTCGAGAGAGTGGCTCAACTTGCTCGTATCTTTTCATCGTAGTAGGGGTTACGCCTCCATTTTATACAACATACTTTGATAGGCTCGCCTGCTATATCCGTACCATAGGCGGTGACGATCAGTCTATCTCATAAAGTGTCATATCCTTTACTTCAATCGAGTCATTGGCTAGCACCTCGTTTATAACCAGCGCGGCTGTACGTCACATTGATACCAATCCCCGTTTTTTGTTGACTTCAAATAGATACGACATCGATACACCTTGCTGCAAAGTATTCAACGTCTCTACCACATCCGCGGTACAGCAGTAGCCTTCGTTTGTCCCGTCATTTTGTGTTAGTTACAGTCCAGGTGGGATGTACCGGACATGTATGCATCAGAATGCCGCCTGGTGCTTGTAAGCGTCCTCTAGCCATCAGCACCATAGCTGGGCCACAACAGAGTAGGGTGACAAGAGACGGCATTCGATGCAGCGTGTGGGTCTATGGTTATCGTGATGACACACAAGCTGGGAAGCTCGCCACGCATACCGTGCACGGAATGTGGCTGACGTGACGGTGATTTCGTGTCTCAGGGGACGAGAAAAAGGTCCGAAAAAATTGTTGGTTGCGAGACGTTTTTGGAGCCCCTATAGCTCAGTGGTAGAGCACCCGCTTAGTAAGTGGAAGGTCGATAGTTCAATCGTGCCTGGGGACAGTGGCCATGTGCCGTACCTATCACATGTCACAAGTTCTAGTATCTCCTTGCTCGAGAGAGTGGCTCAACTTGCTCGTATCTTTTCATCGTAGTAGGGGTTACGCCTCCATTTTATACAACATACTTTGATAGGCTCGCCTGCTATATCCGTACCATAGGCGGTGACGATCAGTCTATCCCATAAAGTGTCATATCCTTTACTTCAATCGAGTCATTGGCTAGCACCCCGTTTATAACCAGCGCGGCTGTACGTCACATTGATACCAATCCCCGTTTTGTTGGCACTTCAAATAGATACGACATCGATACACCTTGCTGCAAAGTATTCAACGTCTCTACCACATCCGCGGTACAGCAGTAGCCTTCGTTTGTCCCGTCATTTTGTGTTAGTTACAGTCCAGGTGGGATGTACCGGACATGTATGCATCAGAATGCCGCCTGGTGCTTGTAAGCGTCCTCTAGCCATCAGCACCATAGCTGGGCCACAACAGAGTAGGGTGACAAGAGACGGCATTCGATGCAGCGTGTGGGTCTATGGTTATCGTGATGACACACAAGCTGGGAAGCTCGCCACGCATACCGTGCACGGAATGTGGCTGACGTGACGGTGATTTCGTGTCTCAGGGGACGAGAAAAAGGTCCGAAAAAATTGTTGGTTGCGACACGTTTTTGGAGCCCCTATAGCTCAGTGGTAGAGCACCCGCTTAGTAAGCGGAAGGTCGGTAGTTCAATCCTGCCTGGGGGCAGTGACCGTGTGCGCATCCATTATAAGGCACAAGTTCTAGCACCTCCTTACTCGAGCAAGCCATAGCTCCGTGGTAGAGCACCCGATCAGTAAGTGGAAGGTCGGTAGTTCATTCCTGCCTGGGGACAGTGGCCATGTGCCGTACCTATCACATGTCACAAGTTCTAGTATCTCCTTGCTCGAGAGAGTGGCTCAACTTGCTCGTATCTTTTCATTGTAGTAGGGGTTACGCCTCCGTTTTATACAACATACTTTGATAGGCTCGCCTGCTATATCCGTACCATAGGCGGTGACGATCAGTCTATCTCATAAAGTGTCATATCCTTCACTTCAATCGAGTCATTGGCTAGCACCCCGTTTATAACCAGCGCGGCTGCACGTCACAATGATACCAATCACCGTTTTGTTGGCAAATACATACGACATCGATACACCTTGCTGCAAAGTATTCAACGTCTCTACCACATCCGCGGTACAGCAGTAGCCTTCGTTTGTCCCGTCATTTTGTGTTAGTTACAGTCCAGGTGGGATGTACCGGACATGTATGCATCAGAATGCCGCCTGGTGCTTGTAAGCGTCCTCTAGCCATCAGCACCATAGCTGGGCCACAACAGAGTAGGGTGACAAGAGACGGCATTCGATGCAGCGTGTGGGTCTATGGTTGTCGTGATGACACACAAGCTGGGAAGCTCGCCACGCATACCGTGCACGGAATGTGGCTGACGTGACGGTGATTTCGTGTCTCAGGGGACGAGAAAAGGCCGGGAAAAATTGTTGGTTGCGACACGTTTTTGGAGCCCCTATAGCTCAGTGGTAGACCACCCGCTCAGTAAGCGGAAGGTCGGTAGTTCAATCCTGCCTGTGGGGCTTCCATCCATTATAAGCACAATTCTAGCCCCCCCTTACTCGAAAAACTACCCCCCTCTGTGGACCCACCCCACCAGTAGTGGAAGGTCGGTAGTTAATCCTGCCTGGGGGCGTGAGCGCATAGGCACAAGTTCTAGTACCTCCTTACTCGAGCAAGCCATAGCTTCGTGGTAGAGCACCCGATCAGTAAGTGGAAGGTCGGTAGTTCAATTCTGCCTGGGGACAGTGGCCATGTGCCGTACCTATCACATGTCACAAGTTCTAAGCGTCCTCTAGACGTCAGCACCATAGCTGGGCCACAACAGAGTAGGGTGACAAGAGACGGCATTCGATGCAGCGTGTGGGTCTATGGTTGTCGTGATGACACACAAGCTGGGAAGCTCGCCACGCATACCGTGCACGGAATGTGGCTGACGTGACGGTGATTTCGTGTCTCAGGGGACGAGAAAAGGCCGGGAAAAATTGTTGGTTGCGACACGTTTTTGGAGCCCCTATAGCTCAGTGGTAGAGCACCCGCTTAGTAAGCGGAAGGTCGGTAGTTCAATCCTGCCTGTGGGCTGTGCGCATCCATTATAAGGCACAAGTTCTAGCACCTCCTTACTCGAGCAAGCCATAGCTCCGTGGTAGAGCACCCGATCAGTAAGTGGAAGGTCGGTAGTTCATTCCTGCCTGGGGACAGTGGCCATGTGCCGTACCTATCACATGTCACAAGTCCTAGTATCTCCTTGCTCGAGAGAGTGGCTCAACTTGCTCGTATCTTTTCATTGTAGTAGGGGTTACGCCTCCGTTTTATACTACATACTTTGATATGCTCGCCTGCTATATCCGTACCATAGGCGGTGACGATCAGTCTATCTCATAAAGTGTCATATCCTTCACTTCAATCGAGTCATTGGCTAGCACCCCGTTTATAACCAGCGCGGCTGCACGTCACAATGATACCAATCACCGTTTTGTTGGCAAATACATACGACATCGATACACCTTGCTGCAAAGTATTCAACGTCTCTACCACATCCGCGGTACAGCAGTAGCCTTCGTTTGTCCCGTCATTTTGTGTTAGTTACAGTCCAGGTGGGATGTACCGGACATGTATGCATCAGAATGCCGCCTGGTGCTTGTAAGCGTCCTCTAGCCATCAGCACCATAGCTGGGCCACAACAGAGTAGGGTGACAAGAGACGGCATTCGATGCAGCGTGTGGGTCTATGGTTGTCGTGATGACACACAAGCTGGGAAGCTCGCCACGCATACCGTGCACGGAATGTGGCTGACGTGACGGTGATTTCGTGTCTCAGGGGACGAGAAAAGGCCGGGAAAAATTGTTGGTTGCGACACGTTTTTGGAGCCCCTATAGCTCAGTGGTAGAGCACCCGCTTAGTAAGCGGAAGGTCGGTAGTTCAATCCTGCCTGTGGGCTGTGCGCATCCATTATAAGGCACAAGTTCTAGCACCTCCTTACTCGAGCAAGCTATAGCTCCGTGGTAGACCACCCGATCAGTAAGTGGAAGGTCGGTAGTTCAATCCTGCCTGGGGGCAGTGACCGTGTGCGCATAGGCACAAGTTCTAGTACCTCCTTACTCGAGCAAGCCATAGCTTCGTGGTAGAGCACCCGATCAGTAAGTGGAAGGTCGGTAGTTCAATTCTGCCTGGGGACAGTGGCCATGTGCCGTACCTATCACATGTCACAAGTTCTAAGCGTCCTCTAGACGTCAGCACCATAGCTGGGCCACAACAGAGTAGGGTGACAAGAGACGGCATTCGATGCAGCGTGTGGGTCTATGGTTGTCGTGATGACACACAAGCTGGGAAGCTCGCCACGCATACCGTGCACGGAATGTGGCTGACGTGACGGTGATTTCGTGTCTCAGGGGACGAGAAAAGGCCGGGAAAAATTGTTGGTTGCGACACGTTTTTGGAGCCCCTATAGCTCAGTGGTAGAGCACCCGCTTAGTAAGCGGAAGGTCGGTAGTTCAATCCTGCCTGTGGGCTGTGCGCATCCATTATAAGGCACAAGTTCTAGCACCTCCTTACTCGAGCAAGCCATAGCTCCGTGGTAGAGCACCCGATCAGTAAGTGGAAGGTCGGTAGTTCATTCCTGCCTGGGGACAGTGGCCATGTGCCGTACCTATCACATGTCACAAGTCCTAGTATCTCCTTGCTCGAGAGAGTGGCTCAACTTGCTCGTATCTTTTCATTGTAGTAGGGGTTACGCCTCCGTTTTATACTACATACTTTGATAGGCTCGCCTGCTACATCCGTACCATAGGCGGTGACGATCAGTCTATCCCATAAAGTGTCATATCCTTCACTTCAATCGAGTCATTGGCTAGCACCCCGTTTATAACCAGCGCGGCTGCACGTCACAATGATACCAATCACCGTTTTGTTGGCAAATACATACGACATCGATACACCTTGCTGCAAAGTATTCAACGTCTCTACCACATCCGCGGTACAGCAGTAGCCTTCGTTTGTCCCGTCATTTTGTGTTAGTTACAGTCCAGGTGGGATGTACCGGACATGTATGCATCAGAATGCCGCCTGGTGCTTGTAAGCGTCCTCTAGCCATCAGCACCATAGCTGGGCCACAACAGAGTAGGGTGACAAGAGACGGCATTCGATGCAGCGTGTGGGTCTATGGTTGTCGTGATGACACACAAGCTGGGAAGCTCGCCACGCATACCGTGCACGGAATGTGGCTGACGTGACGGTGATTTCGTGTCTCAGGGGACGAGAAAAGGCCGGGAAAAATTGTTGGTTGCGACACGTTTTTGGAGCCCCTATAGCTCAGTGGTAGAGCACCCGCTTAGTAAGCGGAAGGTCGGTAGTTCAATCCTGCCTGTGGGCTGTGCGCATCCATTATAAGGCACAAGTTCTAGCACCTCCTTACTCGAGCAAGCTATAGCTCCGTGGTAGACCACCCGATCAGTAAGTGGAAGGTCGGTAGTTCAATCCTGCCTGGGGGCAGTGACCGTGTGCGCATAGGCACAAGTTCTAGTACCTCCTTACTCGAGCAAGCCATAGCTTCGTGGTAGAGCACCCGATCAGTAAGTGGAAGGTCGGTAGTTCAATTCTGCCTGGGGACAGTGGCCATGTGCCGTACCTATCACATGTCACAAGTTCTAAGCGTCCTCTAGACGTCAGCACCATAGCTGGGCCACAACAGAGTAGGGTGACAAGAGACGGCATTCGATGCAGCGTGTGGGTCTATGGTTGTCGTGATGACGCACAAGCTGGGAAGCTCGCCACGCATACCGTGCACGGAATGTGGCTGACGTGACGGTGATTTCGTGTCTCAGGGGACGAGAAAAGGCCGGGAAAAATTGTTGGTTGCGACACGTTTTTGGAGCCCCTATAGCTCAGTGGTAGAGCACCCGCTTAGTAAGCGGAAGGTCGGTAGTTCAATCCTGCCTGTGGGCTGTGCGCATCCATTATAAGGCACAAGTTCTAGCACCTCCTTACTCGAGCAAGCCATAGCTCCGTGGTAGAGCACCCGATCAGTAAGTGGAAGGTCGGTAGTTCATTCCTGCCTGGGGACAGTGGCCATGTGCCGTACCTATCACATGTCACAAGTCCTAGTATCTCCTTGCTCGAGAGAGTGGCTCAACTTGCTCGTATCTTTTCATTGTAGTAGGGGTTACGCCTCCGTTTTATACTACATACTTTGATAGGCTCGTCTGCTACATCCGTACCATAGGCGGTGACGATCAGTCTATCCCATAAAGTGTCATATCCTTCACTTCAATCGAGTCATTGGCTAGCACCCCGTTTATAACCAGCGCGGCTGCACGTCACAATGATACTAATCCCCTTTTTTTGGCACTTCAAAAAGATACGACATCGATACACCTTGCTGCAAAGTATTCAACGTCTCTACCACATCCGCGGTACAGCAGTAGCCTTCGTTTGTCCCGTCATTTTGTGTTAGTTACAGTCCAGGTGGGATGTACCGGACATGTATGCATCAGAATGCCGCCTGGTGCTTGTAAGCGTCCTCTAGCCATCAGCACCATAGCTGGGCCACAACAGAGTAGGGTGACAAGAGACGGCATTCGATGCAGCGTGTGGGTCTATGGTTGTCGTGATGACACACAAGCTGGGAAGCTCGCCACGCATACCGTGCACGGAATGTGGCTGACGTGACGGTGATTTCGTGTCTCAGGGGACGAGAAAAGGCCGGGAAAAATTGTTGGTTGCGACACGTTTTTGGAGCCCCTATAGCTCAGTGGTAGAGCACCCGCTTAGTAAGCGGAAGGTCGGTAGTTCAATCCTGCCTGTGGGCTGTGCGCATCCATTATAAGGCACAAGTTCTAGCACCTCCTTACTCGAGCAAGCCATAGCTCCGTGGTAGAGCACCCGATCAGTAAGCGGAAGGTCGGTAGTTTAATCCTGCCTGGGGGCAGTGACCGTGTGCGCATCCATTATAAGGCACAAGTTCTAGTATCTCCTTGCTCGAGAGAGTGGCTCAACTTGCTCGTATCTTTTCATCGTAGTAGGGGTTACGCCTCCGTTTTATACAACATACTTTGATAGGCTCGCCTGCTATATCCGTACCATAGGCGGTGACGATCAGTCTATCCCATAAAGTGTCATATCCTTCACTTCAATCGAGTCATTGGCTAGCACCCCGTTTATAACCAGCGCGGCTGCACGTCACAATGATACTAATCCCCGTTTTGTTGGCACTTCAAAAAGATACGACATCGATACACCTTGCTGCAAAGTATTCAACGTCTCTACCACATCCGCGGTACAGCAGTAGCCTTCGTTTGTCCCGTCATTTTGTGTTAGTTACAGTCCAGGTGGGATGTACCGGACATGTATGCATCAGAATGCCGCCTGGTGCTTGTAAGCGTCCTCTAGCCATCAGCACCATAGCTGGGCCACAACAGAGTAGGGTGACAAGAGACGGCATTCGATGCAGCGTGTGGGTCTATGGTTGTCGTGATGACACACAAGCTGGGAAGCTCGCCACGCATACCGTGCACGGAATGTGGCTGACGTGACGGTGATTTCGTGTCTCAGGGGACGAGAAAAGGCCGGGAAAAACTGTTGGTTGCGACACGTTTTTGGAGCCCCTATAGCTCAGTGGTAGAGCACCCGCTTAGTAAGCGGAAGGTCGGTAGTTCAATCCTGCCTGGGGGCTGTGCGCATCCATTATAAGGCACAAGTTCTAGCACCTCCTTACTCGAGCAAGCTATAGCTCCGTGGTAGAGCACCCGATCAGTAAGTGGAAGGCCGGTAGTTCAATCCTGCCTGGGGACAGTGGCCATGTGCCGTACGTATCACATGTCACAAGTTCTAGTATCTCCTTGCTCGAGAGAGTGGCTCAACTTGCTCGTATCTTTTCATCGTAGTAGGGGTTACGCCTCCGTTTTATACAACATACTTTGATAGGCTCGCCTGCTATATCCGTACCATAGGCGGTGAGGATCAGTCTATCCCACAAAGTGTCATATCCTTTACTTCAATCGAGTCATTGGCTAGCTCCCCGTTTATAACCAGCGCGGCTGTACGTCACATCGATATCAATCCTCGTTATGTTGGCACTTCAAATAGATACGACATCGATACACCTTGCTGCAAAGTATTCAACGTCTCTACCACATCCGCGGTACAGCAGTAGCCTTCGTTTGTCCCGTCATTTTGTGTTAGTTACAGTCCAGGTGGGATGTACCGGACATGTATGCATCAGAATGCCGCCTGGTGCTTGTAAGCGTCCTCTAGCCATCAGCACCATAGCTGGGCCACAACAGAGTAGGGTGACAAGAGACGGCATTCGATGCAGCGTGTGGGTCTATGGTTGTCGTGATGACACACAAGCTGGGAAGCTCGCCACGCATACCGTGCACGGAATGTGGCTGACGTGACGGTGATTTCGTGTCTCAGGGGACGAGAAAAAGCCGGAAAAATTGTTGGTTGCGACACGTTTTTGGAGCCCCTATAGCTCAGTGGTAGAGCACCCGCTTAGTAAGCGGAAGGTCGGTAGTTCAATCCTGCCTGGGTGGCCTGTGCGCATCCATTATAAGGCACAAGTTCTAGCACCTCCTTACTCGAGCAAGCCATAGCTCCGTGGTAGAGCACCCGATCAGTAAGTGGAAGGTCGGTAGTTCAATCCTGCCTGGGGACAGTGGCCATGTGCCGTACCTATCACATGTCACAAGTTCTAGTATCTCCTTGCTCGAGAGAGTGGCTCAACTTGCTCGTATCTTTTCATCGTAGTAGGCGTTACGCCTCCATTTTATACAACATACTTTGATAGGCTCGCCTGCTATATCCGTACCATAGGCGGTGACGATCAGTCTATCTCATAAAGTGTCATATCCTTTACTTCAATCGGGTCATTGGCTAGCTCCCCGTTTATAACCAGCGCGGCTGCACGTCACAATGATACTAATCCCTTTTTGTTGGCACTTCAAAAAGATACGACATCGATACACCTTGCTGCAAAGTATTCAACGTCTCTACCACATCCGCGGTACAGCAGTAGCCTTCGTTTGTCCCGTCATTTTGTGTTAGTTACAGTCCAGGTGGGATGTACCGGACATGTATGCATCAGAATGCCGCCTGGTGCTTGTAAGCGTCCTCTAG